GATCGATCTGGTCGACAAAGGGCGACAGTTGGCGCACAAGCCCGTACAATAGAATGACTGTGTAACGAAGTGCCCCTGAAACTGGAGTCAAGTGTCAGGTGTGTGGGTAGGCTCGTCGTAATCGGCTACACAGATGGGACCTGCATCCCCCACGTCCACGTGTCATCCCACGGGTTGACTGTCGCATTATTCAATAACTCACCAACTCAGTTGACAGTGGACGTTCCATTAGGAATGTGCCTCGTCAAATCCCCAGGCCTATCTTGAAAATGGAGCGATATTTATGAGTTTGGCTTTTAATGACAAATGACGTGATGGGCAGTTGGGCGCTTTAGTCAATCATCTAGCAAAAGCTGTGGTCATCTGACTACAAAGCTGAGTCCCTGTCACTCCGTTAAGCTATTTATCGCATTAAGATAAGTTATTCATTAATAATATATTCATTAATCGTAAAATAAACTAAAGTATCCGACCACAAACGGACAATAAGACAACGAATGAATGGTTTAAGATCTAACGCCAATATTTCAGCCATATTGTTACACATGATTCACTATCTATTTTATAAACGTGTCCAAGAGCGTTCGTTGGGGTGCTCTCAGATGGTGGTTCAGGATGGTGGACTAGAGACGGCAGACAAAAGTCAGCGGAGGAATTGAAGACAACAGCAGCCATTTTTATTATGGTTGGGGAACAATGGTAGAAATAATACATAAGATGGAAATCACGTGACAGAACGCACATCGCGACCGGGTGGCCAATGTTCCCGACGTGGAGACCCGCTCTGTCACATACATTCAGAAGTCGGACGGCGATTCTTCGTCGTCAACGTAGTGAGGTGTTGATTGGCATTTACTGATAGCATTAAGAATTAGGGTCCTGCCCGGAGGGGGGTTTATGATAAGAGGGCTACACCGAATGATTGCTGAATACATTAAACAGACAAAGGGGATAGAATGTCGGTGCACTTTGGATATATATTGAAACAATTATGTTGTTTGAATATATGAAGTTTTACAAAAACATACTGAAATGGTTTAATCTATGACAAACGTAACTATACTATTACAAATGCATCAATAAGTTTAATGTCTATTAGATATCCAAAATGATAAGCAATATGATTAAAAAAACTCCTGTCTATATGAAACTTTGACATAGTGATCTCTTGGTAGTGATTGAGGTGTACCCAATACAGGATCAGTAACCAGAGAGACTGACACCACACTTAGGGCCATGGAGACTTGCTGTACCTCTGTTCTACATGGTTCCAGAGCAGGATTTACACCATCCCTTTAGACGATGGTGACTACTGACAAGAGTTAGCCAGATATTATAACATATATCTGTTCTGCCATTGACATACTGGTAGATATATACTTTGAATGACGTGGGCTCACTCTCTGAGGGGGACAATACTTTTTTCCCTTCTTCACACTATAGTCCGTTTGGCTCAAAATCGGACCGATGAATTGCAATGTAACTCGAAAACTAATAAACATATAGTACTCAATGAAACGCTGATCATAATCAAAACATCATACCAACTCTGTGATTTATTTGCAGAATTTTTGTCCTAAAAATTCAAAACTTGTTTAACAAACTATCATTAAAATATTGACACAATTTACTGTTTGTTACGAGGGAGGAGTGCAGAGAAAGGGACAGCCAGGTGTTCGAGAAGCACGTTCACAGACAAAGTTAATTTTTCATTAACCTGTGCTGTGCCGTCTCCATCCGTTCTCGAACACCTGGCTGTCCCTTTCTCTGCACTCCTCCCTCGTAACAAATGGTGAACTGTGTCAATATTTTAATGATAGATTGTTAAATAACTTTTTTATTTTTAGGACAAAAATTCTGCAAAAACCTCACAGAGTTGGTATGATGTTTTGATTATGATCAGCGTTCATTGAGTATTTTATGTTTATTAGTTTTCGAGTTAGATTGCAATTCATCGGTCCGATTTTGAGCCAAACGGACTATAATTCAAGGGCACACACCACTAGCAATCTGAGCTGAACCTACCATTTTGTAAAGATTTATATTTGTGTACCAACATTTGAGTAATTAAAAGGCAAGTAATATAATAAATATTATTAATAAGATCTTTATGTCCGAAAGGTTGAAGTGCTGTGATAGAGAAAACTGAACACAGGCAACACTGCAAGACATGCTAAATTGTGATTCAGAATTCAGGATCCTCACTTCACCTTCCAAACTGCTGTCGCCCTCCACATTCGACAAGGATTGATCCACGTGTGGCATTCTGAACCTTACCACATGTACTGGAATTCATGTGGGTTTTAAAGGCACTATATCACATCACACTTTTCTAGAAATTAATAATGCATTTCTCTCAATAATACAAACCATCAGCCTTCAGGAAGCTATCATAAAACTTATTCCCAAAACAATTACGTATATAGATTACAATATTAAATTAAAAAGTTCGAATGAATTAATACAACGTTGCATTAAATCGACTCTCGCGCCCTCTACAGGCCGAGCATTATTTCAAGCGAACCCCATAGAGATATGTCCTTTGGAGCCCTCTTTACGAATATCTAACGCACAACTTGTCACTGAAACCACTTCGGCAAACACCAACAACAACGGGTGCGACAGTTTTCGATGTACTGTGGTAGCCATGGCCCTGACAGAGTTGTTCGTATAAACTGTGCGTGTTGTGACCAAGTGCCTATGGAGTGCCTGCGGCGGCGTCCGCGCATTTGTGGGTTGTGTTGCTCTTACAAATGAACATTGTCTGATCAACTTTCAAACCACCCCCTCCCAAATCCGAGCGCTGATGGTTGACCGAAATGGCGATGATTAGTGACCATAACATGAGTCACATACACGTGGTTCTCTGTGATATGTGTTAGCAGATGGCTGATGATCTGTGAGTCTGATGTGAGGTTTGATTCACCAGCAGCACAATCATGCTGTTGATCACTGGATTGTCTGGTCCAGATTCGATTATTTACAGACCGCCGCCACATAGCTGGAATATTACTGAGTGCAGCGTAAGACTAAACTCACTCACCAGCAGCAGCACAAGTCAGAACCCTGCACCTCTGCAATCTGTCTGCTAAATCACTGTTGACTTCCCCTGTTAAGTTTTCTCGTTACTCTTTTATAATGCATGGAAGCGTATTAGGACTACAGTCTAACTGTTCGATATCCTCTACATTGGTGATACGTTCCTCACGTAGAAAATACTTCCTTCAACGCAGATGCCAGTGAGTGAGTTTAGTTTTACGCCGCACTCAGCAATATTCCAGCTATATGGTGGCGGTCTGTAGATAATCGAGTTTTGACCAGACAATCCAATGATCAACAGCATGAGCATCGATCTACGCAACTGGGAACCGATGACATGTGTCAACCAAGTCAGCGAGCCTGACCATCCAATCCCATTAGTCGCCTCTTACGACAAGCATGGGTTACTGAAGATCAACATGCAGATTGCAGAATCATCTGAATAGGAGAGTTTCATCCACAGAGCTGATACGCTCATCGGTAAGTATCTTTTACGTAAATGTTAAAAATATTTTGACAGTAGCATTATTAGGTTAATAACAAGCATTGTCAATAAAGGTGACATAATCCCCGCCGCAAATTATCAAATTAAACTTATAAAGTAATGAAAGTTTAAGATGAAGCTAAATGTCAACAAAAACATCACCAGCCAACCTCTCTTGATATCTTGCTCTTTAGTTGTTCAAACACACACATATTTTCAAGACTGACTTTGACCTTGACATGAATGTCCTAGTGTATGAAATATGCAAAAATAGTACTAAAGAAATTGCTTATTGTAAAACTTCAAGGGAAGTCTTGAAAGTCTTTGAAGAAAATCCAGTGAACCGTTCTTGAAATATCTATTCAGGTTAAGATGCTGAAATCTTCAAAGTGTCGTCGTGACCCTGAAAATTATGTGAAGGTCACCAAAATTGACTGGGCCTTCCCTAGATGAAGCTTGGTGTCAAATATGAAGAAAATCCAGTGAATATTTTTTTATTACATCTTGCTGACTATCTTAACATGCAATTTAACCTGCTGAAATCTTCAAAGTGTCTCTGTGACCTTGACAATTAAGTGAAGGTCACCACACTTGACTGGACAATGCGTCTTCCCCAGATAAAGCTTGGTGTTTAATATGAAGAAAATCCAGTAAACGATTCTTGAGATAGCTTAACATGCAGGTTTACATGCTGAAATTTCAAAGTGTCACCATGACCTTGAAAATTATGTGAAGGTCACCACAATCGACTGGGCCCTGCGCCTTCCCTATATAAAGCATTGTATTGAATATGAAGAAAATCCAGAGAACGGTTCTTGAGATAGCTTAACATGCAGGTAAAACGTTAAAGTCCCCTTGTGACCTTGAAATGAAGGTCAAGGTCACCAAACCTGTCTTGGGCCTTTCTTATACTGTGATGAACCTAGGTACCAAATATGAGAAGAATCTAGGCTAAGGGTTCTTAAGATATTCCAATTCGTACGTACGTACGGACGGACAGACGGACGGAGCCTAATACTATATCCCCCGCTTCGCGCTAAACGCGCATCGGGGGATAATGACATTAATATGCTTGATGGACATTACCTGTTCGGTAACATATATATGCCCATGATTTCAAGAAGCGTTATCGATTGTGTCCAAAAAATATTCTTCGTAGTTTAGGCATCTCGTCCTCGAACCAGTCAGGATTACGGCCTTGGACGTTAAGATCATCGCCGAAATATCCGATATCAAACTAGGTCCTCTAACAGATGCCCGAACGTTTATTGAAACTTCCCGAACTATTGACTCGGCGGGTATTGAAGGTCCAGTATCTAAGAGGAACATAGTTCTGATGGATTATATGGTATATGTTATCGATGTATTTATGTATCGTTGTGTATCATACCTCGTCTTAACCAATCAGAATGAGACATTCTGAATGGTAGAATTGTAGATAAATAACAGTGCGTGACGTATAGCACAAGGATGTGTGTTTCCAGTCGAGATGTTTATTCCCATTTGCCTTGTGTTTTAAGTTCTTTTATATAATTTATGTAGATGTGAGCTTTAAGAAAGTTGACCCCGGCTCCGTAATGCGTCCCGTCAACGCTGTGGACACCTCTGGTCATGTTGAAGGTATCAAACACAGGTACGTTGTACCTCTCTGCCACCATGGCCATGTGTCGGTTGAATTTCTCGGCGTGTTCATTGTCTACCCCCTTCACAAAGGGTCGACGCCAGATGCCGAACTGATGGAACCCGGACCAGACCAATTTTGGCCACGTCCGGTTCTTCGCGTGATTGACAGTATTGATGACTGCCATGGCATATTTCTCAGTGGTTTGTGTGTTGAAGAACTTCCACAGTCCACAGCCATATAGAATTATGGACCGTCGTTTGTCAAGGAGGTGTTTCACGTCCTTTACCATTGCTGTTATTGAACTAGCGCGTGGGTATGCCCGAAACACTGCCTTGACTGTTCCGTTACAAAGTGTTGGGGTAATGTCTATATACTTGCGGCAGGCTCTGGCAGGGAACACATACATCCCCGCACACATCCTCTTCACGTCTGAAACAGAGGATATCCTTAGGCCACATAAAACAGTATTGTTGTTTCTCATCACTTGTTCAATAAAATATGGGGTGGGCGGGCGAATTATATTTTTACATTTTATTTTATTTTATGCCCCAAACCCCTTAATTTCTGTAGAAATTTACACCTTTTCTCCAATAGAACATCAAAACGTAGAAGTGTGAAACATTCATGCACATTTTGAGAGTTAAAGTTGCATTTTTCTAGTGTAAAAAATCAAAAACAAATCTTAGGGTCGAGTCAAATTTTTGGGTCGGGCGGTAATGAGAATATTTTTTTTATATATGGCCTTAGTAACTGTGCGTTTAACGTTTTACTTTTACGGTATATTCAACAATCTTTACAAATGTGCCCAACAACCAACTAAAGTCTGGTAACTCGGGGTTACTCGCCCCAGTTAGAATAACAGTTAGACGATGTATGATAGTTCTGTTCTGTTTGGGACATACAGGGAGACGAAACTGGATGACAGAATGATAATGTATACAACATAATAACTTTTATAGTCGTGGTGTGGTCAGCCTTGTATGCCCTGCTTTAACGTACAATATGTATACGCGTCAACACTGACTGACGTTGGGCGGATGTCAGGGGATATGACAGGGTTACTTATAGAAACAGTATCAGTCATTTCATCTCCCAAATATATATAGTATGACCAGAAATTATTGAGAATTTTAGGAATATGTTTAATTGATTTCTAGTATAAACAACCTTGACCAGCTATCAAGTGCTTTGCCTCATTCAAGAGACAACTCCGTTAATCCGGTTTCATTAGTTTGTGAAGAGTTATCCCCCTTTGTTTACGTGCTGGCAGACGACATTTTCAGTGATCCTCAGTATGGATGATTTAGAGAAGAGGAAGTTGCTTTTAGAGTATTATAACAAGGACATCAGATCAGCTAAAGTGATTTCAAGTAGAACAGGCATCCCTTTGTCCACTGATTATCGTGTTTTGAAAAATATTGCAAATGGATATGGCATTGAGCACCAAAGAGGCGCAGGTAGGCCCAGAAAATTGACTGTCGGTGACAGGGGGCGGCTTGGTATTCTTGTTTCTAAAAACAAACGAAGGAGTTGAGAAAACTTAAGGCTTGATATGATTGATAGAGGAACTGTGTCTGTCTGTAAGGAGACAATTAGAACTGAGCTGCATGCAATGGGTTGGCCGAAAAGTCGAAGAATTCCACCACCGATCATGAAACCTGAACAAAAGGAGCGAAGGTTGAACTGGTGCTTACAGCATAGAAATTTTAACTGGGACAATGTGATTTTCTCAGATGAAAGTTCTGTGTGGCTTTTTCCTAATACACTGAAATTCTGGACCAAACAAACTGAAAAACTTTGTATCAGCGCCCAAAGTACAGTCCGAAATTTAACGTGTGGGGTGGCATATCTGTGTTAGGGGCAACGCCCCTCTGTGTATTTGAAGGGAATATGAACAGTGAGCGGTACACAGATATTCTCGAGGGACATTTACTTCCATCTGCTCACGTGTTCTATGGAAATGTTTGGATTTTCCAGCAGGACAACGACCCAAAACATCGTTCAAAGCATTCAAAGGCCTGGTTTCGGACCCAAAATATGACATTATTAGATTGGCTATTTCCTAATGACTACATCATCATACCTTGAGGGGCATCAGGCCTGAGTCCGCCATGCAGCTTGTCTCCCTTCAGGATAATGATGAATGCTAGGAACATCTGTCTGACCAGAGAGTCTCCGTAGAAGTGGTATGTTCCACCGCGAAGGAGTTGGCATGCTGTCACGGACGTTAACGTTTCAATCTTACACCTACAAGAAACACTCAGTCGTGAGAGAGAGGGGGAGAGAGAGAGGAGGGGAGGAGGGGCCTGAGAACAGAAATCGTGTTTGTTTGTCACAATGATTTTACAATGATGAGACATGGCATGTCACTTTGCTGTAGTGAGTGAATGAGTATGGTTTACGCCGCTTTTGCAATATTCCAGCAATATCACGTGTGTGTGTGTGTGTGTGTGTGTGTGTGTGTGTGTGTGTGTATGTTGGGGTGGTGGTGACACCTGAAATGGGCTTTATATATTGTAACGATGTGGGGTGTCGAAATCGAGTATTCATCGTGACACGCGGACGCTTAAAGCGTTAAGCTTACCTCACCGCCCTCATGTTCATATTGAGAGTTTTTAAGTGAGTTTGTTCAAAATTGTCTCTGTTCACCCAGCAGAAAATGGGTACCCGATGGGATAAGTAACGTGAGTATTAACCTTTTGGCGCCTCACAGGCAGCGCGAACGCCCCCAACCTCTTAATCACGCTGTTTTCTATAAATCTCTAATTTCAATTTATTCTTTGTTTTTATTTATCAAAAACCTTAATAAACTGATACACTTTCAATTCAAAACAATTTTACATGTAATAGTACATAATTTCGAAATGCAGAATTCCATTTTATTAGTCATTCCAGGAATTTAGATTCAATCGAAGGACTGGTTTCCTTCAATCGGTTCGAGAGGCGTGTTCAGTAACAGTACGGCGAGTGCTGAGCGCTGAGCGTACCTGTCATACCGTCTTACAAAACAAAAGTAGTAATGACGTGCGACCCCACGCGCGCTTATAGACGCTGGCCCGACAGTGGCACTATATAGGACCATATGTCCTCCGTCCGTCACTAGTACTTCGTTTCCTGACATGGTTAGACATGACAAAGAACTTTCATATGAAATGTCATATGCTGGAGATGAGAGTACCCTATTTGCGATGCGAGTACCGATCTCAAATAGACGGAGGTATGGCCATCATGATGATCTTGAAATCAGCTTCAAACGTTTAGCGCTGTGTAAGTGGCCTTATTAAATGAATCTGTGCCTAAAATCAGTGGGTCACAATAAACAAAACCAGGCATTGGTGCTATCGTGACAAGTTCAATTTATGCGTGAGTACATTGCTCAAAGGCGCATATAGGTTTGGTTTGTGCATGTAAAGAATGGATGGCGTGACACTTACCTGCCGTCATGGGGAATCCATGTTGAATACTCAGCTTGTATTTGTGGTCGGAGGTCATAGCAGCCATCACAGACACAGTCTTCAACTGTCCTCATTTGACAGACGTTGCCATAACAACAGGGAGTGGTTCCCCTCGGTTCGCACAGTGCTCGGAACCAGCCGTCTCCAGGGTAGGAGATATTTCCACACCTCTTGTCGGGAAGCTCCAAACTAGCGCTGGAGCTTACACGTAATCTGGAAAGTACTTTGTGCTGAAATATGTCCATTTCATTTTCCTCGCTCTCTGTCAAAGGTCGTGTTTTCCAAGATCCTGACAACATGCCTCGTAGAACACTAGGACACATCTCGGTGACGTTACTGGGATACGTCATTGTGACGTTACTGGGGTACGTCATTGTGACGTTACTGGGACACATGGTGACGTCACTGGGACAGGGCACTAGGAGGCCAGAAGACGCCATGGTGACATTTCTAGAAGCAGTGGGAATTAAGTGTGTTGGTTGTTTAGCCACGTAACACATTGTTATGATGGAGAGTGTCCCTGTTATCATCAGTATGCTCCGCCGGCTTGTCATCTGTGTTTACTCGCTGTTGGCTGCAGATGACAGAAACAGATCTGGATATAAACAAAATAATAGACTGTTCGATGTGTGTTTGATTGGCATTCTAGAAGTTGGTGAGTCAATAATAGTACATACAACTTTATGGATGACAACGTCTAAAGAATGAGGACTATTTTTATGGATATTCAACTTCTTTATTCTGTATAGGCGACGTTTCGACATAGATTCTTATGTCGTTGTCAAGCAAGTTGCCAACCACTTGCTTGACAACGACATTAGAATCTATGTCGAAACGTCGCCTATACAGAATAAAGAAGTTGTATAGCAACTTGCTTGACAACGACATTAGAATCTATGTCGAAACGTCGCCTATGCAGAATACAAAAGTTGTATAACAACTTGCTTGACGACATTAGAATCTATGTCGAAACGTCGCCTATACAGAATAAAGAAGTTGTATAGCAACTTGCTTGACAACGACATTAGAATCTATGTCGAAACGTCGCCTATACAGAATAAAGAAGTTGTATATCCATAAAAAAGTTCTCATTCTTCATCTGCCCAACTTCTAGAATGCCAATCATAGAGAACTTCTTGGTTTTTGTTTTGCATAGAACGACATATCGCTTTATAACGATGTAAGAATCTACACCAAAACGTCGCTCTATGCAATACACAAGAGGTTGTCATCCATAATGAAAGTTTCAGTTATAATGTAAGCTTCAGTTATAATGTAAGTTTCAGTTATAATGTAAGTTTCAGTTATAATGTAAGTTTCAGTTATAATGTAAGTTTCAGTTATAATAATGTAAGTTTCAGTTATAATGTAAGTTATAATGTAAGTTTCAGTTATAATGTAAGTTATAATGTAAGTTTCAGTTATAAAGTAAGTTTCAGTTATAAAGTAAGTTTCAGTTATAATGTAAGTTTCAGTTATAATGTAAGTTATAATGTAAGTTATAATGTAAGTTTCAGTTATAATGTAAGTTTCAGTTATAAAGTAAGTTTCAGTTATAATGTAAGTTTCAGTTATAATGTAAGTTATAATGTAAGTTTCAGTTATAATGTAAGTTTCAGTTATAATGTAAGTTTCAGTTATAAGTAAGTTTCAGTTATAATGTTTCAGTTATAATGTAAGTTTCAGTTATAATAATGTAAGTTTCAGTTATAATGTAAGTTATAATGTAAGTTTCAGTTATAATGTAAGTTATAATGTAAGTTTCCAGTTATAAAGTAAGTTTCCAGTTATAAAGTATAAAGTTTCAGTTATAAAGTAAGTTTCAGTTATAATGTAAGTTTCAGTTATAATGTAAGTTTCAGTTATAAAGTAAGTTTCAGTTATAATGTAAGTTTCAGTTATAATGTAAGTTTCAGTTATAATGTAAGTTATAATGTAAGTTTCAGTTATAATGTAAGTTTCAGTTATAAAGTAAGTTTCAGTTATAAAGTAAGTTTCAGTTATAATGTAAGTTATAATGTAAGTTTCAGTTATAAAGTAAGTTTCAGTTATAATGTAAGTTTCAGTTATAATGTAAGTTTCAGTTATAATGTAAGCTTCAGTTATAATAGAAGCAATAAAACCCTTTCCACATTCATAAGTAATATCGGCCAAAAGTAGAGACGATTTTACAATTGTGACTATATCATGAGCAGATATTTGTTTCAGCAGTATTACCGCTGTATGATGTTGTTTGTAAACAAATCGGATCTGAACCAGACAATCCAGTGATTGTCACCAAGCGATACAATGACAGAGCATGTGGTTATGAATCATAATACCACAATACCAGATGATCGCGAATAGGGGAGCGTATTCTGCCCCACCGGTGGCACCTGTCATGAACAAAGTCTAGTCAGGGAATAAAATAAGGTAGGATCCCTACACCTTGTTCAAGTGAGTGAGTGAGTTGGGTTTTACGCCGCTTGATGAAATATTCCAGCAATATCACGGCGGGGGACACCAGAAATGGGCTTCATTCATTGTACCCATGTGGGGAATCGAACTCGGGCCTTCGGCTTGACGAACGAACGCCTTAACCACTAGGCTACCCCCAACCCACCCACCCACCGACCCCACCCCATCCCCGTGTGGGGTATCCATATCAAATGTGGTATCTCAGTATAATTCAGTACTGTTTGACGACGACTATGTTGTGATCTAGGTCTCAAGAGAGTCTTGACATGTCAGATTCATTACTGTCAGCACCACCCCGCACAGATGGTTGTCAGTGCAGGTACACTGAACACGTAAGGTGCAAACACATCTATGAAATGTAATCGATATATTCAAAGTTACCACCACACATTCTTACGTCTTTAAGTTTATTTACTAGCCTAGTGATGAAATTAGACCATTGCTACGTAAAACACAGAAATAAAACAAAACACAAGACACAGGACACTTACTCCGAGAGTACTTGATGGGGAGGTGCTCTAGTGTATAGAGGATGTCGGTGGCTGCATCTGACCATCTGTGAAGTGCGTGATTTGTGGTTGTTTCTGGTAATGTCCAATCAATACATGGCTTACACTGGTTCCTGTTACATTCACGTATTGGCCACGCCCCCGCATCTCGAACAATGACAAGACGACGGGTCACCTGGTCTCCAAGCTCGCCACACAACACACACGACCATGCGGTTTACATAGGGATAGGCTTTGTCAGCTGAACATGCAACAAAAGCCATTCATTGTTTCCTGTACGATGTCCCCTCAGCCTTTGATAATAACGTTGTTTGTACCTATTTTGTTGTAAAGGTAGAACATATGGGGTTTCCAAAACGTGGAATCATAGAGAGTGCATTTAAATTGAGTTCCGGACGTTTCCATCCCTGGTTATTTTACGTGAACCGTGGGCATCTTGAATAGACTACTATTACATAGACTTTAAAGGTCACATGCAACGTAAAACACAACTTTGCAGATTCTGATACCTTCGGTATGGACTTACCGAAACAAAGCGTCAAAATGCAAATTCAACTTATAAAGTTGAAAAATAACGCGATGAAAAAACGCGCGAAATCGGAGTTCAAACGTTTCACTAATTTTCCCCAGACTTTTCTGGGGAATACGGGTTTCAACAGCTGGGCTGCGCTCACAGCACGTGCGCAGTGAAATAGGTTCGCGCAACTTGGAAGCGGGCTGTCTGGTAAAATACTCGGTGAAGGCTTTGGTGTGAGCCTATTTTCATAATGTTTTGTTGATATCCTCACAGGCGCGAGCTTTTATATGTTATGACAGTAAATAAACTGTTTATATAATTTCATTTGTCTATTTCACCACACGTTCTTCTTACCGAGTCACTTTCTCAGGTCGATACTTAAAAGCAATGTCATTATTTAGCGTTGACACAATTTCTAACTGTGATATAGATATGTCGCTGTCACAGACAAAACTCAATGTCTTGTTTTATTGACACCTGTGTGTCTGCCTGCCTGTCTGCTAATGACAATATTCAATACACAACTGCTATCACTGACCACATGCAATTTGAACTTAACACCAATCAGGCTATACACCATAAACAAAATGCATTGATTTATGACCCGAGTTCTGTCTCTGTCACATTATGTAATTACACAGACAGGCAGGTGTGATACTTGAACACATGACATGTTATGATGTCTGTTGATTGCAAAATGTTATACACAAAAAATGAGCATGTATTTACAAAACCCAACATCTCTATATATACACACACAATGAGCCGTGAAGGCGGCATCTGCTAATGAACCAGCCGTTACACTTGAGTGCACACTCACCCGCTCTGACTGGGTTCGGTATCCCGGCTGCTTCTGTTTCGAGGGAGGTAAAACCCAAGTACAAAATATTGCACTTTTGATTTGCGATTATACGCTTGTAATTTTGTTTATTTGTTTTTCATAATCAGCAATGCATAGTATATGTCATGAAGAAGTGATAATTGTGTTTTAATTATGTTTGATTTTTGGTTGCATGTTTTCACTAACACTTACAAGAAAACAAACCGTATGAGAATCGAGTATACATCACGTACAGCGCTGTACTTTTCTTCACTGCCGTCCGTGTGACAGCAAACATGCCGAGACTCACGGCAGAGCAGACAGAAGAAGAGTGACTGGAACGTTGCAACGTAGGGCCATGTTGCAGGAATTATGGGATGTGCGAAGTGCACTATCACCGCGGACTGGTCACCCGTGATCGACAAATTGGCTGACCGGCAGACAGGCCTAGAACCGGAAGGCCCAGGTTTACGGGAAGTTCGCCATTTCCGGATGCTTCCCCTAACGTACAGATTGATCACTGTGACGTCATCAACCGAAAACAGCCTTGGTCATCCAATCAGCAGAGGGACATTTTCCTGACGGCTCCGTCCACATAGTCTCGAGCCTATCAGCTGTTCAAAAACATAACCTTGACGCTTGGACATCGACGTTCATCAGTGGCAAAATCAAATTGGTGATGGACAGTCTTCAGCGATGAAAGCAGGTTTCAGCTTAACGAACATGGTGGAAGTGTCCATTTTGTGGCATAATAGAGTCTGTAAGTAGGTCACGGCACTTCGCGAGACCTTAGTACTTCCGGTGACAAACAACGTTTCATACCTTTTCGAATGGTCTCACGGTTGTCAGCTGACCGTAAGATACAGATAATCAGGAATAACAACTTTCCGATCTAACCATCCCTAAATTACCCAACTATTACGACTGTCAACAGCTGTGACAGCCAAGCATGGTTGTACACTGGTTCTTGAATATACGCTTGCCACCGGAAATCTGGTACCGGAAGTAAGCTGGGCCCCGTCTCTCATATCACAAGTTGGTGCGCGCAAAGGGAACCGGGAACCAGCCTAGCGTCTCGCGAGACTTACAGGCCCTATGAACGTACGTCACGTTGTTGTGTTCCGGAGGTGGAGCATGGGATGTGGGTTTGATAGTTTGGCGTCAGGATGACCGATCTGGATGTTATTAATAGAAATGTGATATCTTTCTTGATTAAAATTGATCAGATTTTGAGGCCTGTTATACTGCCATTTATCTCGCCCCTTTAACACGATATTGATTCATCGTGAAATATGGCACGCTTCTATTTGCCTACAACCTTTTGACAATTGCATTATGTAACAAGATATGTTCATTGAGTTAGTGAGTTAAAATTTAACGTCGCGTCGAAATTGCTTCAGCCATATAGCAACAGATTATTTTATTCCATATGAGCAGAGCTCCATGTATATTGCATCTTACAATACTAGTTCTGTAATACAACACATTCAAGAATCAGTATTAGATGGGACAACTCCAACACGATATGTGCAATGTCTAAACTGAAATGCCAACGTCCCTATTTTGTCTGAAACAATATCTGAAATATTTTGCTAAAGATTCGAACGTTTTCGTTTCTTATCAAACGACTTCAGATTTTTGTAATCATGGATTTTCTTCAGGGAACTTGTATTCGGGTTGACATGTACCCTCATGTACAGTGCCACAGTGTAGCATTTCTTTCGACTGCGTATTCAAACCGCTCGGATTCTTTTGCTATAAAATTATTTCTGTGAATCCAAGGTGACATTTTATGCCTGTTCGGGGTTGTAAGTGTGTTTGATTGCTTAACTGGAAAGCCGTATTAATTAATGCGATATACACTAAACGCCAAAAGAAACGTTACCCCCTTCCTTAATGACGGAGTAACTATCTTCAGCTGGCGTTGTGTTGCCGTTCCTATGTTGTCCTGGGCGTCAGTACACCCTACAACAGTTACCTACTCGTATTGCCGTTCTATGTTGTCCTGGGCGTCAGTAGACCCTACACAGTTACCTATCGTATTGCCGTTCTATGTTGTCCTGGGCGTCAGTGGACCTTCAACAGTTACCTACTCGTATTGCCATTCCATGCTGTCCTGGGCGTCAGTAGACCCTACACGAGTTACCTACTCGTATTGCCGTTCTATGTTGCCCTGGGCGTCAGTGGACACTACAACAGTTACCTACTCGTATTGCCGTTCTATGTTGTCCTGGGCGTCAGTAGACCCTACAACAGTTACCTACTCGTATTGCCGTTCTATGTTGTCCTGGGCGTCAGTGGACACTACAACAGTTACCTACTTGTTTTGCCGTTCCATGTTGTCCTGGGCGTCAGTAGACCCTACAACAGTTACCTACTCGTATTGCCGTTCTATGTTGCCCTGGGCATCAGTGGACACTACAACAGTTACCTACTCGTATTGCGTTCCCGTTCCATTTGCCCTGGGCGTCAGTGGACACTACAACAGTTACCTACTCGTATTGCCGTTCCATGCTGTCCTGGGCGTCAGTGGACCCTACACAGTTACCTACTCGTATTGCCGTTCTATGTTGCCCTGGGCGTCAGTGGACCCTACAACAGTTACCTACTCGTATTGCCGTTCTATGTTGTCCTGGCGTCAGTAGACCCTACACAGTTACCTACTTGTATTGCCGCCCATGCTGTCCCTGGGCGTCAGTAGACCCTACACAGTTACCTACTCGTATTGCCGTTCCATGTTGCCCTGGGCGTCAGTGGGACGCTACAACAGTTACCTACTTGTATTGCCGTTCCATGTTGTCCTGGGCGTCAGTAGACCTTACACAGTTACCTACTCGTATTGCCGTTCTATGCTGTCCTGGGCGTCAGTAGACCCTACAACAGTTACCTACTCGTATTGCCGTTCTATGTTATTCTGGGCGTCAGTGGACCCTACAACAGTTACCTACTCGTATTGCCGTTCCATGCTGTCCTGGGCGTCAGTAGACCCTACACAGTTACCTACTCGTATTGCCGTTCCATGTTGCCCTGGGCGTCAGTGGACGCTACAACAGTTACCTACTTGTATTGCCGTTCCATGTTGCCCTGGGCGTCAGTAGACCCTACAACAGTTACCTACTCGTATTGCCGTTCTATATGTTGTCCTGGGCGTCAGTGGACACTACAACAGTTACCTACTCGTATTGCCGTTCCATGCTGTCCTGGGCGTCAGTAGACCTTCAACAGTTACCTACTCGTATTGCCGTTCTATGTTGTCCTGGGCGTCAGTGGACCCTACAACAGTTACCTACTCGTATTGCCGTTCTATGTTGTCCTGGGCGTCAGTGGACCCTACAACAGTTACCTACTCGTATTGCCGTTCTATGTTGTCCTGGGCGTCAGTGGACCCTACAACAGTTACCTACTCGTATTGCCGTTCCATGTTGTCCTGGGCGTCAGTGGACCCTACAACAGTTACCTACTCCTATTGCCGTTCTATGTTGTCCTGGGCGTCCAGTGGACCCTACAACAGTTACTTACTCACATTGCCGTTTACACATTTATCAATGTGTAGTTGGCGGCCATTATGTCGACTTTCAGTTAGTCAAAGAATAATTAAAGAAACATATGGTATACTCACATAGGTTTACTTTGCCTCAGTCTACCTCTCTTGCTACAACTTTAACATTACGGCATAGAGCACTCGGTTCCATAGCGGGAAGCTGAGTTTGTATCAAGACTAAACTACCCAGGTAACGTAAACGAGATCCGCCACTTCTAGCGTTGTAACGTTCAAAGACTGATAACCGCCTATACAAATGGCTTCAAGCTGACAAAGGAAGTTGTATTCCTCTATTGTAGAGTAGCGCCACCTCGCGTCCCTCGTGACTGTCGGCGGATATTGAATGAGTACAAACATCAAAGATCGTTACTGACTACAAGTGTGACCTGTTTTCATGGACAGACATTTTTATCGTGTCCTGGTGGGGCATTGTCACCCACAAATTTCTTTTGTTTCAGCCACAACTGAAATCTCTCGCTGCGCCGCATAACGCCCCGAACACGCACTGTAACACTTATGTTTATATAAGGTTTTACCAATACAACAACCCCACCATTCGTGTGTGTATATTGATATATGTAATTGGTTGTATGGTAAACACTTCGCAGCTGGCAATAATATCTTGATGTATTACCTTAGATCAATACGTCTCTGACTGTACAGTGTTTGTTGATTTCAGATGATTTCTGAGAACCCTGAAAACGCCTAACGGTGGAATCACCTCGGGACAACGAATTCTGTGAATTTACATCTCATAACAACTTCTGTATTCTTTGTTTGTTTGATGTTTAACGCCGCACTCAGCAATATCACAAGTATATGACTGAGGTCTGTAAATAATCGAGTCTGAACCAGACAATCCAGTGATCAACAGCATGAGCATCGATCTGCGCAATTGGGAACCGATGACATGGGTCAACCAAGTCAGCGAGCCTGACCACCGATCCCGTTAGTCGCCTCTTACGACAAGCATGGGTTACTGAAAATCAATTCCAGATCTTCACGGGTTGTGAACCCTTTTCTTAACGGAGATAATAATAATAATAGCATGCTTGTAATGCCCTGTTTTCCATGTAAAAACATGCTCAAAGCGCAAGACATAGAAGTATTTTCAAAACAGACACTAAGAGAAAAGTATTAGAGATACATGGAAACAATTCAATGAATTATCGTTTGCACTCATATGCTAATCTGAAGAAGTGAGTCTTTAGGAATTAAAAGTAGAAAGTTCTGTACAGTCACGTAGATATTGGGGTAGTCGATTCCAGGTTGTAGAGGCTGCATACGAAAGGACCTTTCACCATAAGTAGAAGTCCTCACAGTGGGGATAACGAGGACACGTGTATCCTGTGAACGGAGAGAGCGACATGGGCGGTTCTGTGTGATACAGATACAGCTGTGACAACAGATGTAGGTCGTCAGACCACACAGTTACAGTACAGGCAAATACAGTCTTTGAGTCTGACTCTGTTGGGTCTTAACTCAATATGAAACACATACATTGTCAAGTGACTAGATGCCATTGTTTATCAAGAAAACCTTCGATTAATATATTTCTGAGTGAGTGAGTTTGGTTTTAAGCCGCTTTTAGCAATATTCCTGCAATATAACGGCGGGGGACACCAGAAATGGGTTTCAAACATTGTGTCCATGTGAGGAATTGAACCAATAGATTACCCCACCGCCCCATATTTCTGAGAGATGGTATGCACATCGTAATACATAGTAAAGATAAATAGTCACAATGATTCTTAGTTAAAAACTTCATAAGCATAAGTGACAGAAAGCGACACAAATATTGGCAGTTGGTAGCCTAGGTGTTGCACAGCAGTGGCTCCGTATAATTATGGATAACATAGCCTCCATGAAAATACCGTGGAGTCACGCGTTAAGAAGGATGACAACATAAGAGCACACTCATGCACCTCGAACAGGAGAACATAACTACCTTACCATGGCCAGTACCTCGAACAGGAGAACATAACAACCTTACCATGGCCAGTACCTCCAACAGTAGAACATAACCACCTTACCATGGCCAGTGCCTCCAACAGTAGAACATAGCCACCTTACCATGGTTAGTACTCAGTCAAATAAGTTTGACAAGAGAGACGGATTCGGGCGATCTTAATAAGTTTAGTTTCACGGTCATTTGTTTATTTGCGTATAAATTAAGTAAACATATTGGTTTATTTTGTAAAGTCTAAAGCTGTTACCAGCCTGAAAACAGATAATTATAGGTAATTATTTTACAATAGTGTTTGCATAAAACAATAAATGAGAAAAATAAGAAAAATAGCAGTAGGCTGATTTAATTGCAGACATGTTCCATATCACACATCTTGAGTTTAAGACAAATCGCAGTCACTAGTTTTGTGTCCGAGCGTAAATACACACTCACTTTTGTACACATCCATACCCACGCACCTGCCCACCGCAGTTGAAGGCAAGCTCTGATGACCACCTTCCTGAAAATGTCAGCGGCTAAACGTAGTGATACTGTAGTGTGAGTGAGGGTCCCCTCCCCTGATTGAGATTTCATGTGGTGTGCCTATGTGGGGGGTCGAACTCGAGTCGTCGGCGTCCACTTGGCTAACTTACCGCGGCTCAGAGTGTAGAGTTTGATAGGGGTTGTCAGTCGATATCAGCATACGATAGACATGGATATAGATAACGGTAGATATATTACACTAGGAATGCGGAAGTTGTCTCAGCTAGGGATTACTCAAGCCAGCGATCACACACCCTCTCGCGCTTGCTGTTTTCTCCCATGTTACAAGGTAAGATCCTAACTGTTACCCGTGAAGGTCCGGGTTAGAATTGATCTTCAGTCACCCATGCTTGTCGTAAGAGGCGACTAACGGGATCGGGTGGTCAGGCTCGCTGACTTGGTTGACACATGTCATCGGTTCCCAATTGCGCAGATCGATGCTCATGCTGTCGATTGTCTGTTCCAGATTCGATTATTTACAGACCGCCGCCATATAGCTGAAATATTGCTGAGTGCGGTGTAAAAATTAAACTCACTCACTCACTAACTGTTCATATCCAACCCAGATTTAGGACCTCTGGAAGTACATGATCCAGTGTTATGTCAATGATGATTACAAAAGCGTCACTCGACTCGTGCGTAAGGACACCATCCGAAGTCTCGAAGTAAAGGCTGTTTTGGTGGAACATTTTAACGTGACGCATCGGTGACACAAACATGGTGGCTCATGCAGTGGGCTATTTTGACAGCACTATATGTTGCCTTGTAAGTTCAGGTGGAGACTTGACTTGCCCTGGCATGTGTTTGTGACAGGTGCCACCGGTGTGGCAGAGTAAGCTCATTCCCCTCACCGTGAACACCTGGAATCGTGAACATTGGTTTATATAAACTGATGTGCAAAAGAAAGTACACAGGTTGTGCTTCTTTCAATGAGATAAAAATAACAAAACCTTTTGATGAAATGGAAAATGTATGTTGAAGCACACTGCAATACACGTGTTTTATCAGCAAAATGACATTGTAACAATAAACAGCGATGTAGTGATGACCACTGCAGACGGTTCCTACGATGCTGGAAGGTCAAGGCCATTCCACGCAGCGGTCGGTAGGCCCATACATGCCAGCAGGACGAAGTCGTCTTGTCACTATGAATCGGCTTACGCGATGACCCAATGATGTGGCTGCTGATAACGTCACCGTCAACATCCAGTTGCGTATGTGAAGAACCCGCAGATAGCGATCCTCTTGGGGTGTTGTGACTCTGGAACGTCCACTCTGGGTCGATCACATGTCTGGCCTGTCGTACCTGAAACGGTTAAACAGCCGAATTATGGTTTGTCTTGTGCAACCCAATGTCCTTGCAATATCGCTGTTGAAAGCACCCATTTGTGTCATTCGTTTGGCCTGTTCTTGTTGCGCCGACATCAATCTTGGCATTTCCTCGTGAGATTTCTGTCAAGGATTGTTCAGTCTTCACGACAAACAGGTTTTATACTCTCTGCCAGAAAAGTGCTGGTGCATGGGACAATAATCACAATTTTGCAAAAATTCGTGCAAAACACGTACAAATGTTTTCGGTTGCATTTTGGCAATTGAAACATGATGGTTGCTTTCTATACAATCAATGTTTTCAATAATTTTTATAATTTAGAACGCATATTTGGGATTGCAACACCAAATATTACACCTGTGTACTTTCTTTTGCTCGTCAGTTTATATTTTTATTTCATAGAAATCTGTATCGGTAGAAAACCAAAACCTGTTTATGTAAATACCTCTCCAGGTAATGCGTTGAAACGGCTGGTTAGTACACATAGAGAGTGCCATCCATAATGTACAATTGTCTAAAATGAAATACATGAAGTCAGTATTTTAATGTCAGTGGTGTCGGTGGAAAATTATAATTATGCAGTTATCCTTTCTACGAAAGTATAAAATTTGCTAAATTCCAAGGGAAGTAAGTTTGTGAAGTAGTTAGTTAAAATTCACATCTGCAATAGTTTGCCATATTGTGAATATATATCACTTCATATACATACCTCGTCAAAATTATTATACAGCCACATTTATAGCGAAATTGCAAACCCGTGTAGCTCATACTGTCCTCCAAAGTACATTTGTGTTTAGTAGTAGACAGGATGATAGTCCTGACCAGGGTAATCTAAGGCTTCATTTAATAGATAAAGCCTTAGTTGGACCCTTTACCATTACCATCTACTACAGAGCTTTATTTCATAAAATAAGACTTTAGTCGGGATTTCAAGCAAAATGTCCCAATTCCCAAAGAAATGTATTGCGCTTCCTCCCAAGGGGAATTGTGCTCTCACATCACACAAAGTTGCAGAGACAACGGCGGATACGAACTCCACCGGGTATCTTACCTCTATGTCGTGTTGACAGGGAGGTAATACTGTGTCATACGGTAACGATCAACAATTCTTCTTTACAAACCCTCTGCCCGGTCCATCCATCAAGTAGTACAAGTTAGGTTCGTCGGCTTTTATATCCACTTTATCTATGTTGTAAGTTTTGACCGACCATATCGGATCGGTGGCACGCTTGCGACTATCACCCTCATGTTCTCCCGGTTGGTATAGATACCCTCACGAGAGCTCGGTCGGGTATCTGTTTCTCCTTACCAACCCGTGATGGAGCAGCCGGTTCGGCCATCACTGATTTTAGTTTGATAGCGTCTGCCGGTGTCTTGTCGGTGAGTCGGGTGATTTCATG